GAACTTGGACGCCGTGGGCTTAGGTGGTACACAGCTGGCAATCGGCTGTTTCGTAAGCGACGTGACCGACTTAGTTCTTTGTCTCGAGAGCAACTTATCGCGTGAAGTAGGACTGCTACGTATAGAGAGGCCAGCAGATTAATAGTACGTTGCATCATCTCTTAATTTGAACCTCCACCTTCGAAGTTCATTCATCGGTGTGGGCTCGACGATCTTGGATTTTATTGCTCACGTTGATTCTTTTTTGTCAACCGCTCAGCATGCGGAGCGATAGCCCAGAGGTATTGAAAGGCTTGTTGACTCATTGAATAAAATCCCTTAAAACTACAAAATAGTGCGATGCTATACCATCTGACGTTTTTATGAAGATTTTTTTTCTTTGATCTGGAAGGAGCAAATCGCTCTTTCTTCAGAAGACGCCAAAACTATTTTTCTAAATGATAAACAACAAATAGGATATTAAGCAACACGCCTTGGACTCCAAAAGAACTTTCATGCAATGTTCATATAATAATATCGTATCAAGTGAGGAGCCGTTGGAGTTATATGAACGCAAATGACTATATAATGATTGAATATAAATTAAGAAAAACGGGAAAAAAAATCAACACTGCAAACTGTCGCCGCGTCTGTGAGCTCTGGCATAGATGTCTCACTCATCAACTGACCTGGAAATACACGGCTGAAACTGAGACCTTGACCTTATCCTGCTGACGTTAGCTTCGTTAAATGCAAATACTCTAAAGCAAACTAGCCATCAGGAAGAGAAAAAAAAACAACCTTGCACTATGCATCCGCTCACAGCTATGACGCTCGTATAATGACATTTTGCCTCGTCTGAGCAAACTGGGAAAAAAAAACGATATTAAAAATTATGATTTTTTCCTACACCAGTGAAGCACCCCGTAGCGATAGCCTAGCACAGAAATTCTCGGAAAACGCGACATCCACCTGTGCTTTCATTTAGGGAGCGCCGTGCATGTCTAGGCTTACGCTTAACGCATTTACGACTCTCTCTCTGTCTCTCTCTTCACTCTCGCATAGCAATCATTTGACGAGGAACGTTTGTCGGAGCGCGCGCGCACACGTTACCAATGTATGCCTCACAGCCTTTGCATTACGCCTGTTTTCCCGAAGCTTTTCTGTACCGCGCGCTCCACGCAACACGCGTATGGAAACGACACGATCCGCACTGGAGACACATTTACCTCCCGCTTCGACTCTTCAGAGCGAAGCGCGTCGTTTTGAGCTTATGCATTATTACGCGTAACCTACATTATGCTGGGGACGAGCGCGCGCGATCGCTTGTGAAGCACGCCGCCTGCAATTCCCCCCCTCCCTTACCCACTCACCCCCCAGCAGCGCATGTGTATGTTACACGGCCACCGTGGTTCTCCAGGCGTGGCCTCGGCAGTGCATGCGTGGGGCTTCCTCTTCGTGACTCGAGAGTTAGCGGTTTCGTTTGCACAGCGCAACTCTCTCTCTCTCTCTCTCTCTCTCTCTCTCTCTCTCTCTCTCTCTCTCTCTCTCTCTCTCTCTCTCTCTCTCTCTCTCTCTCTCTCTCTCTCTCTCTCTCTCTCTCTCTCTCTCTCTCTCTCTTTCTCTCTCTCTCTCTCTCTCTCTCTCTTTCTTTCTCTCTCTCTCTCTCTCTTTCTCTCTCTCTTTTTTTACTCCATATGCACTGAATGCTACTCGTAGGCGCAAAATACAGCCGGGCTGCGCAACTTTTCTCACGCCACCGAGTCGAATGAGGAATGCATGTGGAGAGTGCGTGGGCGAGGCTGAACCGCCGCAGTCGACTCGCTTTCTCTGTTCTAGATCACGCGAGTCTGTCACCGCACGGGGCCGCTTACGTGGCGCGCTGCGTCCGAAGCTGCCGTGCACTGTCTCCCATGGTGGACCAGTGGTTGCGGTGCTCGTCTGCTCACCCTAAGGTCGCGGGTTCGATTCCAGTCACGGCGCTCACATTACAGTGGAGGCGAAATGGTAGACGCCCGTGTGCTGTGCCATGTCAGTGCACGTTAAGGAAGACCAGACGGTCTCAATTTCCGGAGCCCTCCAATACGGCGTCTTTTGTGAACATATCGTTGATTTAGAACGTGAAACCCTAAATATTAATACTAATTAGCTGCCATGCCCTGGCCAAGTTACGGATTTTTGAACACAATTTGCAAATATAAGCGAGATCAAAGAGAGAGAGATAAGAGCAGAAGCAGGAAAGTTAGGCAGACGAGCATTCGGTTTGCTACCCTACGCGGGGGCTAAGGAACTGTAGGCTTAAGAGAGCACGCGCCCAGGTGTACACTCGGTCACTGAGGCCGGTGTTTCTGACACTCGAGACTTCGGCGCCGTGGCATTCGACAGCGCGACCAATATGGAAGTTCAGGGAGGTGAACCAATCATGCACGCGCATATAGTTTCTGTTGGCTGCTCTATGTGTGGTGGGTGGGGCTGCAGTGATAAAAAGAGAAGGGTCACAGAAAAGGAGAGATACAAACACGAACGAAGTGCATACTGAACTGCAGCAGCAAAGAGCGATGAGCTTAGCTTTAGTAGTGTCATTAGAATTACAAAATTAATGCTCCAAACTCTAAGCTCAAATGCTCGAAACCGTACATATTTGCACGCGCATGGGTAGCATACAACTTTTTGTTGTACAAGAGAACCACAAAATGTCAAAAATCGTTTTGCGAGAGCTTAGTTTTATATATCACTGGTAGTTTGGAATCACTCATACCAAGCCGAAGGATGACGATAAGCGCAGTCAATTTAATTAAGCAGAAAGAATGAATGTAAATAAAATCTCAATGCAGTTTTACGCGACCACTAGAGTTGTCCGAGTGCACCATGAAATGACTAGTCCGATATTAAGAAAAGAAAAAAAATACATGTCATATCCCTCTTTTAACGAATTGCTAAAACACGAAAGGCAAACGTGTTTTCACCGAGGTAGATGAGCATTATTTTCGCATTGTTTCGCCACAAGGGCGACGGTATGAATGCTACAGCAACAAATTGTAATTTCATGCGAAGAATGGCAAGCAGCTCGGAACTTGCAGTACGCACCTCATGCAGAAAGCACGCACGAAATGAGTATAGACAGCACGAGCGCGGACAATCAACTGTCTCAGCGCGACACTTAAAGCACGCTGCTCAAACAGAAAGAAAAACGAACGAAACGAACTCACAATTAGACACAGGACGAGCGTGAAAAACAGTGTCACAATTTTCACTTCTTCGTAGGTGAGCAGGGCAGCGAGATCGCTGCCACGGCAGCGGCAGCGCAGTGAACGCGGCCGCGGCAGCGAGCGAAGTGACCTTCGTGCTCTCCTGAATCACGTGACCGATCCGAGAAGCGTGACCTCTAGCGACACACCACGTTCACAATTTTTTTTCCAGATCTTCAAGCTACTATTTCTGAAGCATTTAATGCTCGGTCGTGCACCTGTTCTGAATCATGCGGTGCAGCCGAGTGATTCTGCCCCGCAGCAGTCGCGCATACAACTGAAGCTGTAGTTCTGCGCACGTGGCACGCAACTTCTCACTGTGGCAACGACCGCAAGACACATCACCTCCACGAAGCGAGTGTTCTGGCGATTCCGTGCAGCGTTATTCTCAGTCAAGAAGTTGTCATGTCGGGTCTCTCATTTAGCAAACCGCGCCTGATTGCGGCAAGTGTGCTCCCGGTTCTCTAATGAATCGCTGCGTCCGACAGAGTGTCTGCCATACAGGCCCTTCAAACTTCGTGTAAGCGTCTCTTGATTGACATATTCGAGTTTCATGGTTAATAATGAACGACCATCTCGCTTGTGTCATCCTGGATCGTTCACCTTGCTCCACGCTGTACCAAATTTCTGTGCACGGCTCTCGCGACAGGTGCCGTGACGTAACGCCAGACACGCCCCGTTCGTCGCGCTCCAGTGCCCAAATTGCGGATCGTCACCACGCGGAGAAGACGAGCAGCTCTCCCTCTCGTAGACCGGGCCAAAGATTCGGGCGCATTTCGGCGGCCAAGACTGGAGGAGGAGGAGGAAGTGACGCCATAACAAGCTGCGATACGTGCGTGAAACAGGCGGCTTTTGGACGCAGTCCCCTCTCTGTTTCTCTGAGACAGGTATCAAAACAGGAACGAAAAGAAAGTGGTTTCTTTTCTTCACGGCTTTGCACGCACGACAAGAAACAAAGGAAGAAGAAAGTGCTGACCAGCGTGTGGTACGACGTCTACTGTATATCTGACCGCCTGGTGTTGACCCGCTGCAGCGCTTGAGACGAGTGAGCGAGAGTCATTAAAGAGAGAAGCGACTCTTTAAATGAGCCCCGAACCGAGCAACATCCGCTCCGTTCTCTCTGCTTGCGGCTTTGTAGTTTTTGCAGCGGAGGAGCCCTGGTTTTGTATTCTCCTGCAAGCTTCGCAAAATGAAAAAGTGGTTCCTTTACACGGCGTCGGCGGCCGTAAGGACACGAATGCACGAGACGAAACGATAACGTTTTCTTTACCAAATTTTCTTTTTGAGGGGTTATCGGTCATTTTATTTATTGCTGCAGAGGGTGGGAAGGTATATTGTTCTTTGTTGCTCGGGCGGAAACGCAGCAACCTTTTACTTTTGTTTAATGTGAAGAAGGTTAACGCCCGTGTGCCGCTCATTGTATAAGAAAGTGAGGGCAAGAAAATGCAATTTATTTAACAGTAAGTGCCCCTAACAAAGCGCGTACGTGTCATGAGCATGCACCAGTTTTGTACAATCCTTTCTGTCCTTTAACAATGCGCAGGCTCATAACAGGAAATCCTTAATGACCATGGCTTTCTTATTTAACATGAACCTAACAAAGCTGTTCAGAGAAGTATATACGCGCATTTCTCATCGTACAATATGAGAAGTGCGCAAAAATAATTTCATACATAAGTGGCACCAACTAGCTCCATGCACGATCTCTCGCGATGCTGAAAGTTTTTTACACGAACAGCGTGCGTGAAATATCTGTTGTTTCTCTCTTTGCAGTTACTCAGGGGCCATGGCAGGCATAGTTCCAGACCTCCGGACAAATCGAAGAGTGACCGCGACAAAAGCAGCGGCAGTCATCGCGCGAACGTACGTATATCGAATAGGCGTGTATATTTATGCTTAAAATCAAACCTAATATGCAAAGCTATAATACATTCTGAGCGACCACTATGTATCACACAGAAATACAAAAAAGGCAAAATACTAATGATGGATCCCGTTACGCCAGAAGTCAGCGCTAAAAATATAAGCCACCGGAATCACTAACCAGACCTATCCACCTATCAAGGTAGTTTTGTTACATTTCTTTACTTTTCTTTTCGGGACAAATGCAGGGAACAGCGAAGGTTGCCATGGAGTCAACAGAAGTTCAGTGTGACGCTTCTTCAAACCCAGAATCTGTAAGTTTCAGAATCTGTAAAATATCGGGCGCGCCACTACACTGTCAGACCAACACACATGTAGGACCAATAAATGACCTTATTTACAACGCTAAATTATTTTAACGTGAACTGCTGCTGCTAATGGATCACATTTAATAGTGATTGTTGATCACCACATTATTATGAGAGACGCCGTACTGGAGGGCTCCAAAAATTTCATCAATATAGGGTTCTTTAACGCGCACATAAGTCCAAGCACATGAGCCTCAATTATTTTCGTCTCCATCAAAAATGCAGCTGCCGTGGCAGGGATTCAATCCCATGACATACGGATAAGCAGTCAGACCATAACCACTTGACCACCATGGCGGGTTGGATCGTACTCAAGTTTTCAATAATGCAACGACCGACGAGACTATTATAAGTATTCGAGTTCGCAGACACGTATACGCCACGTGTGTGGCATGATCTAGTTGTCTATAACTATCATCCAGCTGCAATGTTAGATTTCGTTCGGCTCTCAGTTGGTCCTCTCTTTTAACTCAACATCTTGATCATAAAGTTTCATGTGGACTCGTTAAGTGTAAGTCTGTAAGATGCTCATTATTAAATGAATTGGGGGCTGTCGAAGTGCATGCTTGCCTGAGTGCCTCTGTCTTACTTCGCAGAGTCCCTTCCTTCACGTTCAAGATGAACTGCTCTCAAAAGTACCAGGGGCAGAAAGCGAGGCCGCGAGACGGGTTCATGAAGAAAATGTAAGTTTTATCTCACAATTGTCGTGTGTATAATAGACGAAAAAAAATCTGGAAAGATTTACACACAGTAAGCCAGTTTGCACCCTTAAGGGTATTTTGCGGTGTATATAACTAACACCTTTACACCCCACGATAAGGGCGTTTTGACAAACCAAAACACCCGGATCGTGGATGTTTCGATGTGTCGAAACATCCTTTTCTCCAAAGGGTGTTGCAACAGCCAAACACCCTTGCACCCTTAATAAAAATGCTATTACACACTTACGTCCTTAGAGGGTGTTATCAAACCCTCACATTTTTAAACACAAAGGGTGCTATTACACCTCTAGACTCTTAAATGAAAGGTGCTATTAAAACATTTGCTCAGAAGCCGTGCATTCTCATGCTGCTCCTTGTTTGTGTATATGAGTGGTCCTTGAAAGGTGGTACTTGTTGTACAGCCCAAGAACTCCTCTCCTTTCAAGCACTAGCTGTTGCAGAAAAATTTACAACATGCATATAGTTTCCCATCAAGCAACCTCCACACCACGATTTATAATACTACAGGTTGCGGCCACAACATATCACACGCTATAGCTTATGATGCATGCCACTCATTGACAGACAGAACATAGAAGGGGGGGTTGACTCATTAATTTACAGAATTTGCACTTTTTAAAATATAGAAATTTTATATAGTCATGGTCACAAGAAATATAACAGTGTGAGATACCATGTAAACTGCAAAGACAGATCCCCACATAAAAACATAACGGTTTATTCAACCAGCAGAAGTATCGGGAAGCATTCTAACGTCATGCTCGTCTGGGTGGCAGAGCATTGTCTTACTGAAGTACACTTGACTGGTGGCGCGAAATACATTTCGTGAAAAGGAGTGGATCAGAACAGGGGGAGGGTGGCGAAGAAAGTGAAGCGCCGTACGATCTACCAACTGGTCATTGACAGTCTGAGATGTGTACAGGGAAAAAACAAGACGTGCGTGAACGCACGTCTTCTTTCTGATGCGCACGTGCGTGAACAGCCACCACATGACGTGCAGCGACATCGTCAAGACAACATATTAAGGAGAAAGCGCATTTCTGTCGAATACAAAGCTACAGAAGTGTCACTGATACAATCAGACCCTTTCTTTTTGATAAAGAGAGCTTCAAACCAACGCCTCCTTTATTTAATTCAATGCCAGTGCAAACGCGCGCTCTCCAACGGGAGCCGTCAGTCCGCCTTTGCTCAGAAAGTGGTCGTAATGCGACGCCACAGGGGGGGTAGGGCTGCTTGCATCACACGTGCTTCCGAGCGCTTTTTCCACGGAAACGCGATAGACGTGCGTCCCTCTTGAATACCATACGTCTGTCAGATTTGTTCCTTCACGCTCCTTCTTTGTGGCTGGAAGCAATGGCGCCGCCACTCACAGTGCTAGTTATGCAGCGGCGTCACCGTTATCGGTTACCCGCTTAAGCGCCACGAACGGCGACACGCTCTCTGAAACCACCGTGTCACTTACAGAGCCAGCGTGACCACCAACAGCGTGATAACGAGGAATGCAAGACGCCGCCCCATGTCGTCATCTTGTGTATACAGTTGTGTACAGTGCATTCCTGTACACAACTGAACAAAAAATTGCTTATTCCCGTCGTGAGGCACTGCATGAAAGGTTCTCTTCCCCACGACCGCAAAGCACAGGCGAAGGCTGGGTGATGGGTGAGAGCAGGAAAGGGCCAGAGGAGAGGGTGGCGAACAGCTGGATCGGGCGCATCTGGCTGGAATCGATAAAATAGGGGAGGCGTTGTTCAAATAGTTCACTGGCAGCCTGTTTACTGCCTTCATGATTTTCACATTCATGGTTATGCACTCATTGCTTACAAAATATTTTGAGCTGATAAATTAACATTAGCACAGTTAGGGACTATCGATATCACAGTAAAAATTATATACTATAAGCCTCTAAAGTTGAAACAGAGCTTTAACAACTATAAATTAAGATATTACAGTAGAACTAGGTTTATAGCCAGGTGAACTTGCTACATCTGCCACCAAGCGTTCATCGCATGGAATAGATTGGTGAAAGTGAACTTTGTTATCACGACTGTATCAGGACTGCGTTCATGAAAATTACCAAACTATACCCAAGCCTTTGATGCAACCTATTTTTTTTTATTTTACCACAATTCCGCAAAGAAGATTTTCTATGCTCAGTGTTTTATTGCCCCCTGACTCTCGAACTACGTATTCAGGCTTGTGGTTTTGGTGAGAAATACGAGAATGCTCCGAACTTGCTTTTTTTATTGTTCGTTACTTGTGTGTATGCTTGATACACTATAAGAAGAAAGAATCAAAGGGAAGTTCAGTCGGACATTCTATTGGGCTAGTTGGTTTCACGTGGGTGAAATGGGTGAATGGGTGAACAGGCGAGGCAGACAAAGCAGGCAAGGTCAGGCCCCTCGAGTGCTTCGTCTTTACGTCCGTGTTTATTTGTGCTAATTTTACTGTCTTCACAAACATAAGGAAGCTCTGTTGCGCTAAATGTACAAACACAGTTGCAAGAGCAACGACTTTGGCTAATGTGTATTATAACTTCGTGCGAGAAATGATGTCAGATAAAACATGGATAAAGACTTTTTTTTATGCTTGCCGAGTGCGGTAAACGAGAAAGCGTACATATTATGCACGCACATAATGTTAATAGAAATGCTCTTACCAATTGTTTTTAACGTGTGATTTCAGTTGCTGCTTCAGCAGGAGCTCAAGGAGAAGTGCGACTTACTTTCCAAGCTTGAGGTGAGTAATCTGTATATTTTGTTTCATTTGCTCGAGAAAAACAAACAAACAAGAGCTGTAAACAGGGGCGTGGTCCACACAACACCAGCCAGCTATATCTCCAGGGCGTCGCCAAGTGTGTCGCAATGGGGCTGGCAAGTTTCATGCTGTTAATCTTAATGAACGACGAAGATGCCGCGATACTTGGTGTCTCTGTATCATTCTGAGCGGCTAATTAGCGTTCGAGCTAAAAGACTTCCGCAATACAGGCCGCAGCCCTGAGCGACTAGCGTATACTCCTTCCCGGGACACGTATTGCTAACTGTCACATCTAATCTCTGTTGTGTAATCGGCACTGAAATATTAACTAGCTGCCCCTTCTAAGCACGCGACGTACAGCGAATGGGTGCTTTTCCGTCGACAGCGCACGACGACACTTTAGTTAGTTAAGCCGATTTGCCTTAATCCGCTTCGATGTTCACGAGTTTTATTTATTTATTTATTTATTTATTTATTTATTTATTTATTTATTTATTTATTTATTTATTTATTTATTTATTTATTTATTTATTTATTTATTTATTTATTCATTCATTCATTTAGTTATTTATTTATTTAATACTGCAGACTCGCGGTCTAAGCAGGGTGGTAATACATATACAAATATAAATGAAATAATTGCGAAACGAAACAATAAAGGCCAAAGAAGGTTGTCTGGTAGGGTAATTAAATCACCACATGTATTAGTAAGACAGTTCCATTCACACATGGTTCTTGGAAAGTACAAAAACTTCAGTAGGCCTGTGCGAGCAAAATGTGGGATCAATGCCTTTGCGTGGTGGTGTCGGGTGGGCCAGACTAAGGGGTGTCAAGTACGGGGAGTTCATTTTCTTCCTTCCTTTCTTTGTTCTTTCTTTCTTCTCTTTCTTCGCCAGTTATCGCTCCAACGTGTCGTTTACATATTTCTTGTTATCAGATGGATACATGTGAGGCCATAGAGGAAGTGGTCACTTCGTACGTGCGTGGTGATACGCGTTGCGCGTTCCCTTCGTAAACGGCCGGACGGACACACCCAGACGGCGGTTCCGTTAGCTTCTCCGTAATCCTATACTTCCTCGTTGAGCCAGCGCATACCGGCACCGGCAGCTGCGCTAAATGCTTTTCGCGGCGCCGACGATACAGCCTATAGACGTGGGCGTATGACCGGAGCGATGAGGACGTCAGCTGTTGCTGCGAAACGGGGCACCCGCGCGCATATACACGCTTGAAACGTGCATGCATGTTCTATAATGGCTCTAATTACCTGCGTCTACGCATTTTGCGGGAGTGCGATTTTACATTAATCGCTGTGCAGGAGGAACTCGACCATCGTGACGACGCAACGACGGCGCTTGAGGTGCTGGAACGGACGGCAACGCCCCTGTCGCTTAACCACCGCCCGCAGGTACGTGAACGCATGTATGCCTCGTGAAATCTATACTTCCTTTTTTTCCGGCCTATGCGGTTGGTGAAGAAAGGCTTTGTAGTATTTGAATGGATGGTTGCTATGAGTGTCTCGTTTATAAAGGGGCACGTGTGCCAACAGGCTCGAGAGAAAACATGAAAAAAAAATGAAAACTATTTTTATGTCGGCCTATGGTGTCTTATCCACTTCGATTAAATCAATGTTATTGTAACAAAAAAACCTAATTTATGTTCTATCCTTCTGCTTTTTCAGGCAGAGTAACCTCATTTTCCTATAATTTCTGTCATTTATCTCAACGTTTCTGCCACCAATACTCTAAGCGTCTCTTACTTGCTTCTATCGCGGACGTGTGCAGCTTTCCATGTTTGGCCCTAAAACCCAAAGCATCATGTACGCGTGTACCCACACGTATGCCTGGGTGGATGTCACCGCATTCAATCGGAACATGTTCCATCGTTTTCTTAGCTCTCGCATTGCATGTACATTGTTCTTCCTCTTCATTGAATCTCGCTTTATGATTACGTGATCTCGCCACAGAAAAACGCCCCGTGTGGCGAACGGCGCTATAGGTTGCACGTTGTGAGAAAAAAAAAATTAAAATTATTCTTGTAACGCTGGGTTCTCACACGTCCTAAACACCGTTATGCACGCTACGCAATGTATTCGCATTTCCTCACAATTCCCTTCAGGGAAGTGGGGGCATTTTTTTATGTTTGAATACGGCACGAAGTCGTGTATTGTACCCGCTTGATGACTAACGACTCAATGATGTGCCATTCGCATGACTGAACGTGTTTCCCCAGGTCTCTCAGGAACCGTCGACCGCCCAAGAATCATACTTGCAGGGAAGCACGTTTTTGCAAAAATGCTAGAGCGACCGAAAGTAAGAAAAATGGAAGTATGGAGGATACGCTGAAAAGTCTGGATCTGCTAACAAAAGCACCGAATCCAGACCAAAGTCTTTAAGCCCGAAAAATTCAAGGAGTGCGAGCAGTGCTCTCGAAGTAATGTTATCTCTGAATAATTAGTCGCTATGAGAGTAAATGCGTATAACCTATTACGTAATACCAAGAGCTATTTCGTTTCTGTCGTGCTGGCGTCGTATAGGTAACACGACGAACAACGCAGTGACAAATGGGCACCTATTTGGGCCATCGCATTTCGACGCTTATTTCTCTAGGTCAATTTAAGGCTCAGACGATGTTTTGGTTACCATCCTTGGAGGGGGGGGGTGCAGTAACTTGACATGCCTGACTTGATTTATGAAGCGTCTCATTTGAGCTTCATAATAATAGACACTTGTCCTGATTTTGAACGCTTACAGGAATACAACAAAAGGATGTGTCTATATTGCGTTAGTGTACTGAAATTTGTTCCGTTCGCTTTAAGTTTTGTATCCTGTGAAACGAAACCGGATTCATAGGACTGCGAGTCTTTTTAATGTATATTGTTAAGAATGCATTCTACTCTTGAAGGTATACGTAATCTTTGCTATGCCATATAGTTCGTCAAAGACGGTGGCAGTCGGGCTATTTGGCAAAGTGTTTTCGGTTGAGTGATGCCCTTGCCTGGTCACGCATTCGTTTTCTTCTGCTCTTGCAGCAGCGGGAGGAGCTTCGCGTGACGCAGGAGGCCCTGAGCAGCCTTCGACAGTGCTTCAGGTTGGACGACCCGTACCAGCACACGCTGGACACCATCGAGCAATCGCTGTGCACCTTACTCGAACGCGTCACCTGCATGGAGAAGATGGCCGCCGCATCTTCCGCTTGTCCTTCCACGGTAAGCAAGGGCAGCATCTAGCGTTCTCAATAGTCGTATCACGTAGCCGATTCAGAGATCTAGGGAAATACGGATGACGTTACGGCCACTTGAACTAGGCTTTTCTCATTTTGTTTGCTTGATTGTTTGTTTGTTTGTTTGTTATCAGATGCAGATTGATGGTCATCTTCGATAGATAAACGTTGGAGGATGAAACAACTTAATTTCAAGTCCAGTGCAGTTGATTCGGGGTGGGCCTCAGTTCTGACATCGGCATCGGATGCGTCAAAATTCAAACGTGCAAGTGATAAAAAAGCAAGAGCGTTTGCGCAATGGAAACGTAATGACTGCTCTTAATTTTTTAACCAATACATGTACAATATATCTATACACATATATGTCATTGTTAAATATGTTGTTTTGACATGTTGAAACTTGGATGTTATGCCAACTTGCATGTGTTGTGTACTTATTAATAATGATTATAAATTCGAACCCAGTGTGCTCGTTGTTATGAAGGGCTAAGGAGTAGCCGGCACCTTTTAGGGCGACAACATGTACTTACATGATGTCAACAGAAAAAAAAATATCCCAAACAATAAAAAACTAACATGAGAAGCAAGTGATATGATTGCCTATCATTCATATATGGACGTATATTGTTAGTGAACGATAATTTAATAACCTAGCGGCCTCAAGATTGGGTTGATAAAAATAGTGACTGAAAATACAATACGACGATATTGATTATTATTGTAAAATATAAGACGCATGCACAGCAACAAAAGGTTTGAGAATACCCCTTAGTTTAAACCAAGTTATCCGTTTTTGCAGGGTTCACTGAGTGCTGCATCCGCGCGCCGGCTGAACTTCGACTCGACCGGTGACCCGCGGCGGCTACCAATCACAACGTTAGAAGGTTCTTAGAAGTCTATGCATGTATTTCCGCTATACAAGTCGCCCCTTCCGGGCGCAGCCGAACTGCTGTTTTTGTGTCGGCATGCGAGTGACTTGCGGCATGCGACCAACTGAACGAAGACATGCACGTACACCACATGCATCGTGAATTACCGAATCACCGTACAATCGTACGAGTACGACGCCCACTCACTTGAAAAAAACATAACACATTGGTACTTTGCCCACCAAAAAAGGCACCTAGAATGCCCATTTTCTCAAGTTCATTGGTTGACAAACAATATATATGCATATATTTTAGCTAGCAGCTAGGGTGAAGTTTATGAATTAAGAATGTAATTAAGATGGTGGCCAGTTATTAAATGGCTCAAATGGTATTAAAATGTTTTTGTCAACAAGCTCAGCTTTAGTACCCAGCGCCTAACTTTTTCCTTGTCGCTCAAGCACGACAAGGTAGAAATAAAGTGTGGTTGTTTGATTTTGCATGGCCTACAGGTACTCTTATAGATGAAATATTATCGATAGGAAATGAGTTCGATAAAAAAGAGCACTCTTCGAAACAAAGGCATGAAATAACAAACAAAATGGCACATATGATCTAACTATGCTTACCTATATCTTCAATATGGTGCTGTTGCGCCCAGATTCACGGTCATCATCTGCCTTTACGAGGCCCGAAGTGTTTAGCTTAGCGTGTTACTGCATATACTTGATTGAATTCATAAGGCGACGATGCACGAACATAAAAAAACAATTAAAATAAATATAGTTTTGTTACCATTGATTAAAATGATTGTTCCCACTATCAATTTGTTATAAAAAATATTAGTGTAGCGATTATAGAGTGAACAGACGGCGTGCACTATTTTTACCACGCAGTCATGCACCGTGGTAGCACGTCGCCTGCACCACTACGTTAAACTTGTAATAAAAATGACGGAAATCTGTGTAAGCCGATGAACCAGATGGGCAGGCGCCATGACTGGTGCGAATATCCACAAAAAGACACGAGCAGCGCACGTCCCTATAGAGGTTTGGTCATTCGGATATTAAGTCCGTGGGCAAGCGTTGCTTCTGTCGCAGGAACATATTGTGATGGCTTGCGAAGAACACTTATAATTTAGTTCACGTTATGCACAATGTTACGCCTCCTGCGATAGTGGCTGCGCTCGTTCTGCATCGAAGCAGTCAGCATTTTGTTAACTGACATGTAGAGTATGTCTTTCCTATACACAACTTTGTTGCCTAGTGGCTACCTACTTAAAACGCTCGGAAAAGGGGAGAAGAAAGGAAGAAAAGATGGAAGCACGTTCTCGAGCTGGACATCAGATACTAAGCATACTGAAAACTATAAATAAGAAGCATTTTCCAGTTAAGCTAGCACAAGTGCGTACTTGCGTTAAAATTGATGGATGCTGCTCCCCCCGTTTGAATGAAGGTATTTAAAAGGAGATTAAGAAGTTTAACACGCGACAAAGAATGTGGCATGCCACGCGCACTGCATGTGTTGCACATGCATGGCTCGCACGTGTGCTGTGCTATGTCAGGAGTTTTGATCACGTGTGCTCTCTCTTCGCCCACAGACTTTCCCGGCTACCGCATCGACCCTCCAACATCCCTAGGCCACAGCTCTCAGCCACCGAGCACCAAGGTGATCTACTACACAGAGAGGTCGGTCACCCCGTTCCTGTCAGCCATTCCCAAAAGGCGAGTGCCCAGATAAAATAATTAATTATTAATCCGATGTCTATTATTCAATTATGTGAACGCTCATCGCGCTGTAAGATACACTGTATGTACAGTACGGTCCACTGTTAAAGGGAACACTATAATAAGCACCGTTCGTTTTGCCGGCCCCCTAACAGCAAGCGAATAAGCAGGGCACTAGTCTGTCAAAAGAACTCAGAACTGTCAATCACCGGTAGTATCATGCAAATTTAAGGCATTACGCTTGTGCAGGAGAGTAAAATCCAAAGATGCTATGCACACAAGTGTTCCCTTTAACAGTGGACCCTCGGTATTTTTTTTTCCTGTGTTCTTGTAATTGAGAAGTGGGTGTAAGTGTCTGTATCATCTTTCACTGTAAAAAAATAAATATCGTGGCACTTTTGTCACTATATTTGTTTGCATTGACTTTATGATATGCAGTGTCCATGGTGTTGTACATAATGTTCAGCGGATAATAACTTCAAGTACGACGAGTATTGTTCTCACATCAGTCTGTATATATTTTATTCTTTGAGCCTCGCAAACGTTGTTCAAGTCATAAGTTATAAGTTAGTAAAGGAATCCTTTGTTGGAAACGCGACGAAAAATAGATGCAAACTGCAGTGACAGTGTGGCCTTGGGAAAAAAATTAAAGAGAGATCAAGAGACTATGAGCGACAAGCCCTCCGTCTTCCGAATAAACAACTATGTGTGGTGCGTTAATTACAAGAGCGAAGCTCTGTTGGAATGGTAAATTAAGCATGCCAGAGACAAATGCAATGTAAACATATTAAGTACAATAAGGCAAGTAGCTGCCGGGAGAATACAGCAGGTGACAACAATACACACGCAGAGAAAGTGAGAGAGAAATAAATAAAAAAACTGGCAGCATATCCATGGAGTGAATGATGGAGAGTGGGGCAAAGCATTCGTCCGTCTATTCGTTCTTGCTTCCATCCGTCTATGCATCCGTCTGTGTGACCGTCCATGCGTCCATCCGCCCGTCCGTGCGTGCATCTGTTCGTGCGTCCGTCCCTGCGTTCGTCCATACATCCACCCCTGCGTCCGTTATGCGACCATCCATGCACCTGTCTGTGTGTCCGTTCGTCCATCCATTCAACACTCCAAGTACCACTATCTCGCATCTTTTTATCATATATTCCCCATATAGAAGCACCGCCATCCAGTGGACATTCCAAGGACTAAACGAGAGGCGGCACACGCACACTTTCTTACGGCTTGCGTCTACTTCCCACCTTTAACCACCTCGAGTTCATGGTATATACTAGTTCACTGTATTCATAGCACTGCGGCCCAACGCTCGCTAAACCTTTCTAAAACCAAGGAGGTTACGCCCAGTGAGTATAACGTAGCAACCTTTTCCTGTCATATAGTGCTCAATGTACATGGCAATGGCTGCTATTTGGACATGAGAGACAGGAGAAGTCGGCTTTTACACCTTTAACCACCTCGAGTTCGTGGTATATACTAGTTCATTGTATTCATGGCACTGCGGCTCAACGCTCGCTAAACATTTCTAAAACTAAGGAGGTTACACCCAGCGAGTATAACGTAGCAAACCTTTCTTGTCAGATAGTGCTCAATGTACATGCCAATGGCTGCTAATGGGAATCGCAGCGTGCGCGTTAACTAAAAGCCGAATGCTCCTGTCTTTCATTCGCCATTAGCAGCCATTTTCATCTACACTAAACACTATTTTTTATTGTTCCACAACGCACAGAAGAAATCTCTCACCGGCACCACCTTGGAGGTCAAAATGTTATACTTGTTATACACTACAACGGCTACGAGGGACGAGCGGGTGCCGATAAAAAGTTTCGTTCCTAAAAAGAATGTTTCATGCGCACATTGATGCCAGATTAAAACAAGTGTACCATTAAATAGTAACAGTGTAAGAACAAAAGCCTGGCCGTGTATGTGAAAGCTGCATGAAAAATATATGTACCAACAAGATCAGGCCGGAGGCACTTGCGATTAACGGTAGTTAATTCAAAAACGACATGAGATTATTCTACAACCTTTAAAGTACCCGCTCTTTTTCGATAAACGTTTTTAAGATAATGGTATTAATGCTATTTTATTAACGAGCCTTTTTCCTTCGCTCTCCACAGACTCAGCGACATCCGACTTCGAGACTTCAAAGTAGTGTTTGATCGTCCCGGCCAGTACCGATATCATTTCAAGACACTCGATCCCGAGTTTGGCATGGTGAAAGAGGAGGTAAGTTATTAGTACATTGACGATAACATCATTATTTTTCTTAATAAAGGAAATAGTCTTCGTCCAAATTTGGAAGTCTCTACATGCCAGGAAGTCCTAATCTCTAGCGTAAATTAATTCTATAGGCATGCTGCAGTGAGCCCCTTGCATGCACTTGTGCGAAGAGCCTCAATGATCTGCTAAACCAGTTTGCTCGGGCTGTACATGAAGCATGCTTACCACATTACCTTAAAGGGACACTGCATGCAACACATTTTGAGTATGGTCAGAAAACCCTGATTGATGATTGATTGATTTGTGGCGTTTAACGTCCGAAAACCGCGATATGATTATGATAGACGCCGTAGTGGAGTGCTCAGGAAACTTCGACCACCTGGGGTTCTTTAACGTGCACCCAAATCTGAGCACACGGGCCTACAACATTTCCGCCTCCATCGGAAATGCAGCCGCCGCAGCCGGGATTTGATCCCGCAACCTGCGGGTCAGCAGCCGAATACCTTAGCCACTAGGCCACCGCGGTGGGGTGTCATAAAATGCGGCATGCTGATGGTTAGTCGAAGCTCCTGAATGCACGCGGCTGAGAATTTACAATTAATTATCAAGGTTACGTGGAAAGCGCCAGTTATTTTTTGCAAATGATGCCATATACCTTAATTACTGCGTCATATACCGAAGTCCACAGCAATTGGCTGATTTGAGCATCGTGAGTTGCATATTTACCGAGGTCGCCGTGGGATGCCGCCACATGCCCGCGTGTGCGCTCGCAAGAAAGCCGCGCATTCAAAAATAAATAAATAAATAAATAAATAAATAAATAAGGCACCCAAGGTCGTGAAACATGCTGACGAAGAGACGCATCGTCTTGCCTCCGAGTAACACCCCTCCCTGCGTCATTTTCTGTGCGCTCTCTGGCACGAGAGGAGAGGGAAAGCGTTTTTTGACATGGAACTCCGTTTGTACTTGACGGTTTTTACAAATTTTCGCAGCATGTGAATGTTTGCGATTCGTCAAACATCAAGCGCTGCTGGTGAGGCTATTACATTGTAACCAGAAAAAGTGTTGTAGGGTCCCTTTAAAAAAAAGGCTGAATAATTCGCAGCCTCAAAATGCTTCAGTCTCTCAATTTCCACCACCTGAAATTCAAGCTCCCCATCCCTTTCCCCAGTGTAGGCTAGCATACAGTTGTGCTTATCTGCTTAACATCTTTGCCTACAGACATGCCTACAGACATGCCTACAGACAGGTGACGTAGGGAACCGACGCCAATTGTCGCAGCCTCAGTCGAAAAATTTGGGGAAGAGGGAAGAGGGGGCGCTGAGTGATACTCGCCCACTCGGTGAAACTTCGTCCCTCAATGGAGAACTCTACGCACGCCTGTCACTGCCTTTCTCTGTTTTCTTATTGCTGTGAAGCTGCATACGCTCTACACCACAATGGTTCCGTCTCCGTGGACTAAAAACGAAATGCGATGTCCCTGAACCACCAACACACTCGCACGCACGCGCCCCGCAGCTAAAAGATGCGCGAGCTAATTGCGTTCTCACCTTGCACGTTGAGAAAGGACAATCGGAGAGGTCGACAGACGAACCGATGAAGACGATCGCCATAGACTTACGTACAAGTGGAACACCACAACTAAACTGCGGCGGGTGGTTTAGGAGTCCTTTAACAAGTCAAGGCAAACGTGATATGTTTCTTTGCGATCCGGTATACAGTATAGAACACAGTATTCGTTTCAATAAAAAGAGACCACAAAACAAGCATCAAAACCACATTCTGGTTGATAAGGCACGTGCAAAAAAAAAGGGACCCCCCCCCCCCCCCCACGCGTTCCCGGTAAAGGTGAGGCTACAACTGCTTCGCATTTCGAACGGAGGCTTCGAATGACGTTAAACGGTCCTTCGTTCTCTTCGCATGCGTTTCCCGCTTTCATATATACAAGGGAGACCCGTCTAGAAACTAATTAGGTTCGATATAAGACTGCCATCGGTAGACATCCGATAATAATGGGACCGGAAGTACGACGTGAGTACAATGCTCGACCAAAGGAACTAATTCGCCCATCTATCTGAAAATGGTCAAGGAGTCAATCGTGGTCTCCTGAAGAAACCACAAAACGATCATCACTACAATTATTAAGGGCCAATAAAAAACATACCCCCCCCCCCTTCCTTTATCAGCACGTGTGGTGTTTGTTCGATGGACATTCAGTTTTCCAGGGCGGGATGGCTGCCAGTTTGTTTTTTGCCAGTGCCAAAAGAGTATTGTCACACCATCCTTGCCACTTTGCATGAAATTTCAGTTTATTTAATTAACCATCGCAGGTACTTCACGATGATGACCCCGTACCCGGCTGGGACGGCAAGATCGTTGCTTGGATAGAGGAGGACATCTGAGGAACTGCACTGCCGCGCTCCTCCTTTGCTCAGGCATCGCTCATCCATTCATCTGTACATAGCGCATCATTTGTAAACGTGTGCCTACAATCTTTATAGCAACAGTTATGTTGCCACTTGCACACATTGTAACTTATTGAAAGTGCGAGTCAGCTTGTTCACTGTTACGTGGACGTGCCGAATGATTGTTCAAGACTTGGTTCGTTGTTTCAACTTCACGAGAAGTTCCGGTGACCTCGGAATACGTGGACGCGTTCATAATTTGTTTGCAGGCCAAGCTATTCTACCGTTATGTCCACACAGCAAAAACTTCAAGTACGGTTCTCGAACATGAAGCCACAACGCATTCAAACACACTGTCTCAGTACTTCTCTAGAAAATGTACTTTTGAATTGAACAGCATGACAATATTGGCCTGAAGTATGAACCTTGAAGTATGAAGTACGAATCTTAAACCAACTCACCCAGCGGCAAGGTTTACCGAACCAAAGTCTTGGCATGTTTGAAGAATGTAGTGATATAATGAAATCTTGGCCTGTTGAAGAATGAAAAAAGGGGATGGACTGAACGAAAAGTGTATAAAGACTGAATTTCTCATGCACTCAACCATCTGGCCTAAACAAACTAAAAAAACAAGTTCGAAGTTGATAAATCAGAAAGTGCTAGGCTTTAATTGATGTCACCTTTAGTACCAACCTGCCTTGATTTTCTTTTCTAATCTACTTTCCTTTTCTTTGTGTAAAAAAAATTTATGAATGCTTTGAAGACTTCATCTTACTCTAATGCTAGGTGATGCTGCTTTTTTGAAGTGATCGCTTCAAATAAAGTAAGGCGTTCACACGAGTGGTTTCTGGCATGTTCAAAGAAATGTGACTCCACAAAGTATGGTTGTGTACAAAAACAAACGAGCGTGGTTTCGACTATATTTGCACAGCAAAGCCCACAATTTGAAGGCTGTGCTATGTATATGCGGGCTATTTGTCACTTTTTATAGTAGTTTTGTTGTATCTGAGGATTTCCTCAAAGCTTTGCTACCAATGTTTAAATGTGTCGCCTGCAGGAACGTGTTTCATATTGAAAATGTTTGTATTTATCGCATTGAAAAACTTGCAGTTAATGAAGCAAAGTGCAATTTCCAAAGTTGCTGCATGAAGTGATAATAAAAAAAACGTTCATTTACAATCGCTTAAAGTGTCATTTCGTGTCTTTGTGAGATACAGTCCCATCAGAACCAGAAACCTACAGTCAGAATAAAAAAACATCCAGAACATTCTCACCATCCACTTATTATGTGTCCGTTTCATCAGGAACTGTCCGTCTCGTGTCAGGAGGCACGGCAAGCACGAACGTCTGACGTCATTCTTCATAACTTCGTTGACTACTGTGCTGAACCACCGTCAACACTTGAGAAACTGCGTGGAGGGTATCGCAGGTTCACATATAAATATCCTTATCATCTACAGCACATTTCATTCAACTCAGCACTTATAACTGCCACGCTTCTTTTCAACACGAGGTGTTATGGTAGCTACACGATATCACATGTACATGTATCTAGTGTATCGCCCCTCCTTACTCAATGCCCCCACCCCTGGGGCCTGTAAGGTACCTTGAAATAAATAAATTAGTTAATTAATTAATAAAAACTTGACAACGATACAAATGGTTTGCTTACGCAGATATCACCAAGAGCACCGATGGGCTCAGCTTACACGATCTCGTCTTTGCGACGACGCAAAACGAAAGTTCGGTCAAAGTTTGGGTGCAGAAAGCTTTGTGAGGTGGCGGATGGGAGTTGAAAACTGGACTTGTTGTTAGATCATTAAAGCACTTGGTTCGAGCTCGGCACATGGAGAAAATTAATTCAGGCCCGAAGAAAACACGCATTTCACTGCTGCGTTCACTGTTGCTTGCTGAGTGTTGCGTTTGCGGTGTATATAGCGTGATAAGGTCCGCAAAAATAAACATCGTTGTTGTTAATTCTTCGTACCTTAATTATTCTGTCTTTGTGCGAAGTTTGCGGCGCAACTAAGTGCTGTAATGGGGGATGGGCACGGGGGTGTCAATACAGTCGATCGAGAAGATGGTTGTGGCAGTTAAGTCGTCCTAGGTGAACGCATAGTGAATCACGTGATCGTTATACCAGGAACTGTGCAGGCCGATATTACAGGTTGTATTTCAGGCACATCATCATCATAAGCATCATCATCATCATCATCATCATCATCATCATCATCACTGCGCCCACAGCAGAGCAAAGGGCTCCTCCATGTTCCGCCAATCAACCCGGTTCTGTGCCTGCGGCTGCCACGTTGTACTCTTTGTAAACGCCACGTTGTAAATGTCTTAATGTCATCAGCCCACCTAATTTTCTGCCTCCCACTCGCCCATTTACTTTCTCTCTAAATCCAGTTAGTTGCCCATAGTGAGCAGTGGTTATCCTGCCTAGCGATACGTGCCCTGCCTATGTACCTTTCGTCTTGATTTTAACTTTGATATGCTTCATCCCCGTTTGTTCCCTGTCTTACTCAGCTCTCTTCCTGTCAACGTTGCGCTCATCATTTTCCTTTCCATCGCTCACTGCGTCGTCCTCAATTCAAGTTGAATACTCTTTATAAGCCCCGAGGTTTCTGCTGCGTAGGTAAGTACCGGTAAGATGCAGCTGTTGTATACATTTTGCTTGAGGAATATTGGTAACTACAACTCATTATTTAAGCATGCTCACCGAATGTGTTGCACCCCATCCTTATTTTTCTAGTTATTTCACTCTCATGGTTCGACTCCACGGTTACTATTTGTCCTAAGTATAGACGCATTTCTTTACAACTTCCAGTGTCTCCAAACGAATCGAAAAGCGATGTTCTCTCGCAAGTGTGCTGCAGAACACTTTAGTTTTATGCATAATAATTTTCATACCTGCTCTTCTGCTTTCCACGTCCAATTCAGTAATCATGAGTTGTAACCCGTCCCCCGAGTAACTTGTCAATGCAGTGTTATGAGCGAATCGCAGATTCCTAAGGCATTCTCCATTAACTATTGTCTCTAACTCTTCCTGATACGGGCACGTGCCGGCGCCTATCCCTGACAGCGTATTTCCGTATTGCGTATTTCTGGCACTCCGTAAGCCTTGTCTGCTTCGAGCCGCGTAATCTTTGCAATGACAGCAAAGCTCAGCCCCGTTCTGTGAGCGGCTGTCTATATATAGCAGAAGCCACGCGTTACACGTTTTACTTAATTACAAGAAATATACTTTCGTCCCCGTGATGAGTCTTCTAATGTGAAATAATGATAATGGCAACAATTAGATGATAATCTAATTGTCGGAAATAAAGAAATTATATCATCTGAGTGGCAGAGGTCAAGAATTCCATGGAAAGAGACGGGCTCACGTTCACGACCATGGCACCTGCTGAAAAACTGCTAAGTGGATATTGAATATCCTCACTAAGTAATAAAGCAAATGTTCTCTACTGACGCCTTTGACTTCTAAGAACGAAAGAATGTTGCGAAATTGAAGGTGGTCGGTCTTATGCATCTTCCACGACCACTGAATGCAACACCATTGTGATGGCTTTGTCGCAGTGCTTTACTGTCCTGAGGCCAAGCGGCCGCACAGGGTCATTAGCACGTTCATTGCTGCATGCAAAATGGACTGTCAACCGTTGCGACATTCTCAGTTTAGGAGAAAGCTTGTGGCCCGACTCAATAATGCCCGTGTTACGCGGTCATTTTCGATCGTGATCAGGGCCAATCAAGAGGAGGCTTGATCTAGACCAGGCGCTGCAGCGCGGTCCCCTTTAATCGATGTCAGGCCCGATCGGCACCAAGGCGATCGCAATCTGTGCATCCTGACCTTACTCCAAGATCACAATTTCGCTCACGTCTGCGTCAAGCTATATCCGGATAAGTTTGGTATATTCAGCAGCGAGCACTGGTAATCGCGACGAAAGAGTTTGGTCAGGATCGGCTCTGATCGCGATTAAAAGTGGCCGTGTGACACCGGCCTTCTTAAATGTGTGACAAGCGCCTTACTAGCAAGCACGGTAAGTACATAGAAATGCCTTAGGGGACAACCGTTCAAACGCTTGAATGAACTTCGTAATTTCGTACAATGCTAATGGGCATGATCGACAGCCAAAATCAATATTAATGCAAAATAGGTTACGCCAAAAGTTTTAGTTGAATAACCGTTATTCGATTCTCATGGCCTTGCAAAAAGTGTCTTTTATTTGTTTTTAGCCAAAAAGGGTAGAATAAACATTATCCAAAGCAGGTAAATACAGCTAAACTAAATTCAAAGGAGAAAAGGAAACAGTCCGGGAAATTATTACGTTGTTCACGAAGGTTCTGTAAATGTTTTATTTAGAAATTAACGTAATTCTTTGCATTAGCAACGAGAAGATGCTTTTTTATTATTTCTCGAAACAGTGAAGTTCCACTATATCGAATTATTTTTCGAACACGGCAATGTTTAACGCCAGTGCGTAGGAAAATTCACGGCTACGTCAAACGATAATAGCAGAGCACTTGATATATCTAACATAGAGAGGTGCTATTTGTCTGCATGTAACCCACACCCCCAACTACAAACCACGGAAAAATAAAAAAAAGAACTAAGCAATAACTATCCCCGTCTCTCTCCGCGAAGCCGCGTGCCTTACATTATCGCGACACGATACCGCGCTATAGGCAAATGCGTACTGAAATGAGCATTTAAAATATGGAAGATTGCAAATAAATATATCGACTCATACGATACATCGAGCTTATCCCCGTCTTTTAGCGAGTTCAATATATGCGGGTGCGACATTAAATCCGATAAATTGAAGACATGGGTTCAGCTACAAATGAGAAATTCTACTATGTACTGCATGACCCTTCTAATTTGTTATACAACTGCGTACGCCGAACAGAACCGGTTCAACCGAAAAAACAAACAAACAAACATAGGAATGGCATTTGCCCTTCAGTGGGCGTATATATATGCCGTTGGTGGTTATTACGGTGTGTATGCAGGCCACACAAAGCATGTGCATTCTGAAAGCTTCAAAGGACAAATAATGTCGGGCGAGTTGAAAACTTCGCCTTTTCGCAATTGTGTCTTGAACCCTTTTGCCCTCGATAGTATTTGCTTATTGTTAAACAGTATTGTGCGTTTATTTACTGACTATATTTCTTGATAACACAGCCAACAGAATAAATTAGGCAGGCCACTTAAATGGTTTCTTCGCAAGCGCATCAACACTGAAGCAATAAAAAGCTATGAGGCGTACAGTTTTAAAGGGGAATCTCTCATAAGATAACCGAGCGAAATGAAAGTAAATACTACCGAGCATTAGCGTAATCATTAGGGGGAGGAGGAGCGCCTTCTTTTCCTTCTAAAGTTTTCTATTTTGCGTGCGTATGCATAAACGCGCCCATACAAACGCACGCACAGACATACATTAAATATGGCAGCCCCCCCCTTTCTCTCCCTAATCCCCCCCCCCCCCCAAAAAAAATTGTAGCTACGACCGTGCTACCACACGAGTGTTCGTATACTACTGGCATGACCAGTGGTTCGGGTTAAAGTCCAAGAGAAACGTTACTGAGCATTGATTGATTGATATGTGGGGTTTAACGTCACAAAACCGCCGTATGATTATGAGAGACGCCGTAGTGGAGGGCTCCGGAAATTTCGACCACCTGGGGTTCTTCAACGTGCACCCGAACCTCAGCACAAAGGCCTACAGCAGTTTCACCTCCATCGAAAATGGAGCCGCCGCAGCTGGAATCGATACCGCCATCTGCGGGTCAGAAGCCGAGTACCTTAGCCATTAGACCACCGCGGCGGGGTATGTTACTGAGCATTACACCTATGTCGCACGACGAAGGCTGCACCTACAATCTTGGAAGCCATGCGACCGAGTTCATGATGCTCCTGAGCACTGCGAGATAGCGGCGCTCGTTCAAACGGATGTGAGAAACGGAGACTAAATTGAATACAAATTATGGAAACTAAGAAGAGTGTGGATATTTATAAAAGCGGCAACAAAAAAAAAGATACCGGAATCTGTATAAAACACAGAGAGCAGCTCTTTGCTAACTGAAGCCCGAGCTGGCTGCCAAAAAAACAAAAGTTTGGCAGTGTTTTTTTACATACTTTGTAACACTTGAAGGTGAAAGCCGGCTGCACACTCGCAAGAAGACACTAAAAAAAAGCGTTCGAGAGAATGTTAGTGCGGCATTCTTTTTATAACATCGCACTAATGCACCAAACAAACAATCACGGTGCCAACTTGGTATTAAGCTATACAATCGGGGATCAGATTTCCTGCAATACATAAAGACATAAGAAAACACGATGCGAGATACACCCGTTAAGTTAGCTTAGTCAACAAGGATGGGCATGCGTTTATATCCAGGCAACAACTAAGTGCGACAACGTAAAAAAATGATTCACCTCATTAAAAGATCAGATTGCCAAATCAGAAACGGCTGGTGGCCGACACGCTCACGATTGAGAGAACATCAATTGCTATAACAATCATGTGATTGAGAGACACCGTAGTGGAGGGCTCCGGAAGTTTCGACCACCTGGGGTTCTTTAACGTGCACCCAAATCTGAGCACACGGGCCTACACCATTTCCGCCTCCATCAGAAATGCAGTCGCCGCAGCTGGGATTCGATCCCACGACCTGCGGGTCAGCAGCCGAGTACCTTAGCCACTAGACCACCGTGGTGGGGCCCGAACATCTGTCATGGATGATGATTGGATGAAGCGCACTATAGCGTTTACAATGTTTGGGCCACGCACATTAACCGCACTACGAGAGGTGACCACTGGATTACAAGGAGCATCATCACCCTTATAGAATTCACGTTGCAAACGAGGATTTTGGCATTGCTTTTTGGAGATTCCAACCGTGATAGGGGCCTCCGTCGTCCCACGAATCATTCTAAGCAAACCTAAGCGGGAACGGCTGGTGAAGTAGAATGAAATTCGTGGGCTCGAATCACGACCTGGTCTGTCGTGTAAATGCATGAATTCAAAGCACACACGGTACAGTGGCAGCGATAAACGCCGCAACTTTAAAATAATGATGAAAAATTGACAATTAATTGTTGAACTCAAGAAACCTACCTAGAAAAAAAACCCGAAGATAACGGTCACAGTGAATCGGGCGTTCGTGCCCTGTCGGCAAAGATTGTGGCAATTTAATGGTGGTGGCATACATCGCAGAAATACAGGAAGTGCCCAAAATGTGCACCAAACGTGGGGCACAGCAGCGGTTGCTTTTTTTCACAGCGTATTTGTACAGGTACTATCGCGGCGAAATGAAATGCGTGCAGTGGTCAACGTACGTACCCTTAGGCACACTCCGATATGTCTTCACTGTCGTCAAGCAAACGTGTTCTTTCAGTAGGCGTCGCCATGGTGCTATGGAATCTTTCTCCGGCGAGCGCTGTCGCACCGTGTCTGCTTATCATCTGGGGCCGCATTTTGAAACGATCGCAAAAGGCGACAGTCACAGTGGGTGCGCGCTGATTGGCTATTGAGAAAAAGCAGAAAACTGCGGGTGCCATCTGGTATTAACGTAGACGTGACGCAGCTACCAATGCTTCTGACATACCTGGAAGATTGGAATAAGCGAGCACACCTTAACACCATCGGTTAGTTTGGTCGGCTGTGAAGTCTGGCGTTTCAGCGACATAGACGGTAGCTTCTATGTTCAAGCTTTGGTTGGCGTGTGCAGTATGATTAGTCTGAAAGCTTTCAGTGAGCATTACCTAAGGGTGAACAACCAGCTTTCCGGTGATTGTATATATATATATATATATATATATATATATATATATATATATATATATATATATATATATATATATATATATATATATATATATATAGTAACCGTTCCAGGAGTCTTAACCATGCGTTGTTTGCATGAATTATGGCGCACTGAGAAAACCTTCAAATGTCGGCACGATGGTCCTGCAGCAGCACGTCACAGCTGAACACTTCCCCGCCGCGGTGGTCTAGTGGCTAAGGTACTCGGCTGCTGACCCGCAGGTCGCGGGATCAAATCCCGGCGGCGGAGGCTGCATTTCCGATGGAGGCGGAAATGTTGTAGGCCCGTGTGCTCTGATTTGGGTGCACGTTAAAGAACCCCAGGTGGTCGAAATTTCTGGAGCCCTCCACTACGGCGTCTCTCATAATCATATGGTGGTTTTGGGACGTTAAACCCCACAAATCAATCAATCACAGCTGAACTCTAAGTATGCCATGTTAAACACTCAACAAAAATACCTTTCCTACAAAACCACTATCTTTAAATATTTAATTGTGCTTTAAACAGTTGAACAAAACGTGTGGAAGGCACTTTAAAACACGCTTCATATTTTCAAGTATAGCCACAGCCACGCTTGCTTACTGCGTAGAAGTCAGCATAAGCTCGAAAACGCCCCACGCGAGTCGCTCTGAGCACGCTCACTCTTGTGTTGTTTCTATTCGTAAACCAAAGGCAAGGGCAGGGATACGTCGCGCTGGCCGGTTATTCATCAGATTCCGCGATCATATTAATCAGATTCTATATATCAGGTTCTACGTCGCCAATGGTGATACTGTCGCCTCTCGCGATCGTTTCAGAATACGGGTCCTGCAAGTCATACCTGGCACTCGGAACACACGCGGTACGATAATGCCCACTGCAACAAGACACAAGCATAACTTAGAAGTGTGGCAGCTCGGGCTAGTTGGTATGGCATGACGATAGTTATGGCATGACGATATGGCATGACGATAGCGCGAGAACAAAACGACGACACAGAGACGAGAAGGACACGAGCGCTAACTCCCAACTGAGTTTATTACGCAGAGCACAAAACTATATAGACGGAGACAGTAAGTAACAATGTGATAAAACCTATATGGCACAAAGAGCAGAACATGAGTAAGAGAAAAACAAAGACAAAAAACACGAAAACAAAAGCACAGAAAAACGGCAAAGAAAAATCTATAAGAAAACGAAACAGAAAGGTTTGTGTATCGTGTCTTTCGTGTCCTTCTTGTCTCTGTGTCATCGTTTTGTTCTCGCGCTATAACTATCGTCAAGACACAAGCGCTACGGTGACACCGGGCTGAAGGCAGTCGTGCCACATTTTGAATGTGCCGAAGGCTAGGCTGTGCACGTTTTTTTTTCTCGTCTCAAGAGGATACGCTTCGCACCGACGCGAATGCTCGGGTCACAGACCGTCTTCGTATAGCCTCCAGGCCCATACGCACAAATCAATCTTAACCTCCGCTCATGTTTTCCTTCAGTTTCAGCGCTCCTTGTGTGGAATATTACGGAAAAAAATGTGATAGGGCGAAAAATTGTTTTGTGAACACTTTCCTAGAGACGTAGTGGAATGCATGCAGTGCAAGCTAACGCGGCACAGAAGAAAAGCACAAACAAGCGCACACTAAACAGAAGCTTGAATTTGTTCACATGATATATATATATATATATATATATATATATATATATATATATATATATATATATATATATAAGGGAAAAAAGTGTATACCCATGGCCTCGTTTTTTCGTGTTTTAACACAATATTAATGAGATCTAACAGACAGTAATGCCAAGGAATGTACAGGGGAAGTTATCAGAACCAATGGAATGTAAATAAGAAAAAAGAAAAGTGGATGAAAAAATAACCAGCCGTGAGCAGGAATCGAACCTACGACCTTCGAATAACGCGTTAGATGCTATATATATATATATATATATATATATATATATATATATATATATATATATATATATATATATATATATATATGTATATTTATTTATTTATTTATATATATATAAATGTGTGTGTGTGTTTGTGTGTGTGTGTGTGTGTGTGTGTGTGTGTGTGTGTGTGTGTGTGTGTGTGTGTGTGTGTGTTCCGCCAGTTAACCCGGTCCTGTGCTTGCTGCTACCACTTTATACCCGCAAACTTCTTAATCTCATCTGTCATCTCCCCACCTAACCTTCTGTCTTCCCCTAACCCGCTTGCCTTCTCCGGGAATCCAGCAGTTAGCGTATATATATACGCCAAACAGGCTAAGAAAAAAGTGTACTCGTCACCATGGCGACTGGTGGCGCTGACTGACACTCCCACGTTTAAATTCACGTATATACCCAATAAAGTGACTGGGAGGATAGCCGCCGTGGTAGCTCAATGGCAGAACTTCGAACGCGTTATGATAAGGTTGCAGGTTCGGTTCCTGCGCACGGCAAGTTATCTTTTCACCCACTTTTCTTTCTTCACATTTGCGTTACATTTCGGTCTAATAACTTCTCCTATACCTTCCTTGGCATTATTGTCTGTTAGATCTCAATAATATATATATATATATATATATATATATATATATATATATATATATATATATATCATGTTAACACGAAGGTAAAGGGAAGTACAAAAAAGGAGGGTCCACCAAAATCACAATTGATCTGCCCTGCCCCACTTTTGATTTTAACCTCCCCCCCCCCCCCCTTTGGAAAAATTCCTGCATGCAACACTGGTCCACCGTATTCAAGTGAGCGTCCTTTGAAAACGCATTTTGCAATCTAAATGCGATATAGAAGGTCAACCGACCCAACCTTCAACAGTATTTTTTATTAAGAAGCTTTTCCAATCTCCTTAGTTCTTGTGTCGTTATGGGCGCACCGAACAGACGTGCGCGAAAATTAGGGAATGCTACCACCCTTTGCGCAACGGGCGTACAAATGTAAACCTGGTGCAGACTTCAACGCATTATAGTGCTCTCGCAGGCGCGCATTCAGGCAGTGCCCAGTATGCCCGATATATACCTTGTCACAAGATAGTAAGGATGCAATACCTCCCGTTCGATTGATAGTTAGTGGAACAATTTACGTGTTTAAAGGACCCCTGAACAGTGTCCCAGACGCGGCGGCCGCATTTCCGATGGAAGTGGAAGTGTTGTAGGCCCGTGTGCTCAGATTTAGGTGCACGTTAAAGAACCCCAGGTGGTCGAAATTTCCGGAGCACTCCACTACGGCATCTCTCATAATCGCATCGTGGTTTTGGGGCGTTAAACGCCAACAATTATTATGAGAAGCACAGAAATTTGCGCGAGTTTGTACTGATCCAAAGTGGTATTAAATGTGCGTAAGCATACAAGATACATTTATACGCAGTATGAAGTGAGCGCTCGTTTGTTTAATTCTTTCTTCGTGTCTTGTCTGCTTACGCGCTCTTGATAACACTATGAATTATTATTTTTTATTTGTAAAATACTGTCAGCCCTTCCAGAGAGCGGGTCGGGAGATACACAGGTGAAGTAAATTGTACAAGAAGCCGAACTACACAGCCAACACGACTACAACAACAAAGTGTGGTAAGTCCCGTAATCAGGGAGAAAATGGTTACAGTGTACACTAAATAAAACTAGACATTATTATTGACAACCAAAGCAACAAACAATTCGTAAGCCTCGTAGTTAAGATAGTTAAAAAACACCACTATGTTATAGCCAAAAACGTTGGTCTTAGCGTACGAAAATGCTCCTCGGCTTTTTTGCACAAAACTTCCCATGCCATCCATGACAATATTATCTTGGGGCAATGCATTCCATATTTCAATGGAAGTTGAAAAAAAATTCGAATGTATCGCAACGTGTGACGTATTTCCTGAGGTGCTTCTCGTTACAATGTCTACGGGAACGGCGATGCGGTGGTTTCAAGTGTTCGTGCTTTTCTATGTTTATGCGATCGTTATAAAGCAAGAAGAGATATTTCATCACTGCTACCCGCTGCCGGCAAGCAAGCGTAGGAATTCCGGCGACATTTCGAAGAGCATGCGATATTTTCAGACAGGGAACATTTTGAAAAGACTAAACGTAGCGCTTCATTTTGAATTCTTTCTAGTTTATCTACAAGAAATAATTGGTCGGGGTTCCAAACTATACGGCTTTACTCAAAAATGACACGCACCAAAGTTTTATAAGCTGTTAACTTGGAAGATGCAGGAGCCACAGCTAACTTTTTGCGCAGTAACCGGAGTGTCTTAACTGTTTTTGCGCATGTGTTTTCAATATGAACCTCCCAATAAGTTGGTTACGCTGCCTCGTTTTGCCTCATTAGAGAACTCGTAGCACCCAGCGTCCCATACGTCTGCGTTTCACCTGGTGCGTATAAATGCATCGACGGGACGCGGCACGCTCCACCGGGCGTGCAAATATCACTCTCACGCGCGAGGTCGTGGACTCTGAAAACAGCGTAAATATAAATATCTATTATAGCAGCAACAGCAGCAGGGCAGCGGAAGCAAAGCGCCGTGCGCTGTCGTCATGCCGTACACAAAACGGTGCGTAGTGTCGCTACCTCCCAGGTGTGCGACCACTGCTGGTTGGCGCTACGCGACCCACGAGCAACTGAACCGAATGTCGGGTACAAAGATGTACCGTGTTTAGGCGCAGGTAACTTCAAC